AGTACTATTTTAGACTTCCCTTTCTAAAGACTGCCGCCTTTAATTTCTTAGCAATGTGAGATTCCACCAGTGTAATTTGCTGACTTTTCAGATTGGAGATGCAGTGGCCAATTTAGCAAGTTGCAAATTCTCCTAGAGGAACTAAAATGACACAGTGATAACCCGTCTTTGGATGAAAATGATAATTATGGTCTTGAAGTAGGGTAGGGACAAATGCAGATACATTTTGAGACTACTACTGGTTTTTATAATCGAAAGATTTTTTTCGTGAATGCCAAAAGAGAGTGTACAATTCCTTCTTAGCATTACAAATGCTATTCAAACAATATTAAATGAACATGTTTAATAATGTAAAGAGTGTTTAGAAAATATTAAATACAAGGTAACCTTGCTTATCCAGACTGCTTGTTTAGAATTCCAGGTTATCGAGCCAATTATATAAAACAAGGAAGTGTTTACCCTGCTGAAATAATGACAGGGTAAAGCTGCCTTCGCAGTGCATGAGGCTGTTGGAGATTCCTGACACGAGGACACATCCTAAGGCAGCTCACAGTATTATGTGCATTTAAGTGCACGTATCTTTCCTTGGTTCCAGCTATTTCAGATTTAACATGTACTGTATACATACTCAACTATCAACTGTCTCAGCAGCTATAATACATCAATTTTAATAAGACACAAGTTATTTTCTCTAGTAATTATTAGGAATAAATGTTAATAAACTCATTCTCATAAAAAGATCAAATTAAAAAGGAACAAGTTCAATTCACCTGAAATGCATCTCAAGGAATCACTTACTGAGACTTCTTCTAATATTATTAACCAAAACTTGTGTAGATATTCATCTAAACCAGTGGTTCTCAACCAGGAGTGACGTTTTTCCCTAAGGGGCATTTGACAATGTCTAAAGATAGTTTTGGTTGCCACAACTTGGGGTTTGTTACTGGCCAGAGATGCTGCTAAAATCCTACAATGTACAGGACAGGTCCCTATAATAAAAAATTATTCAACCTACAGTGTCAGTTGTTGAGAAACCCTGATCTAAATTTCTCTTTTAATCTAAAAAAGATTTATAAAGTAGTATCTGCAAGGACATTTATGACCTAACAAATTGTTTGCCAAGAGTTGACTCAACCAATGGAACCTTTTTAGACTATCTGCTCCTTGAAGGCAGGAACGTGCCTTTGTCTCTCTAGCACCTAGCAAGGTAACAGGCCTAAAGCTTAAATAATGTTTGCTGAGTGTATTTTAGTTCTCGCCAAGAAGGTTGATTGTAGGTGAGCTACACAGATTTGAAATGACTAAATATTTGAGTTTGTCTGGTTTAACCATATGGAGACATGGATACCACGTCTTCAGACGTGCCCACATGTCATTCTGTGAAACATCTTAATCGTGTTTTGAAACAATAAGCATATTACTTGACTTGATATATCTTCTGCTTATGTTTTATACTCTTCTTTTCCCTGGGCTCTACAACCCTCATGATTTCAATAACATGTCTGTGCTGATCACTTCCAAAATCTAGACAGAATCAGAGTGTCAGAGTTGGGAAGGGATGTTAGCTACCATAGCTTTCAGCCTTCACCAAAGATTCCTTCCACTACACCTGACATCAGGTCCTAGAGCCCACTCCACCCCCATCCCTGCCACCAACTGAAGGCAATTAGAGACAAGCTCTCTACTTAGAAAGCCGTCCCATTCTTCTCAGCATTTGCATTTGAGCAGATGTGTGAAATGCCTTCCTCCTGTTGGGTGAGTCTGATCGCTGTGTCAAATGAAATTACACAGGCCTAACTGCCCTGAAGTCCCCCCAGATCTGCTTCCCCATACTCCCACAGATCTTAGCGCCACATCTGGGACCTCACAGAACCAGCGCTGCCCTCACAGTGTGGATCTCTACATAAGTGAACTCAGACACGACCAATGAGATCTGAGCTATGAATCTGTGTTTTTTCCTTTTGTACCTTCCCTCTTCATTTTCCACCATTTAAGCAGGTGGCAGGGTCTGTGCTTCCTTGTCTGGTGGGGGAGGGAGGTGTCTGTGGCAGGAAATTGCCAGCTCTCCATTTCCCCTTCTGGATTTTGTGTCCCCAAAGCCTAAATTGGTTGGAAACATTTTGTGCTAACTGCCTCTGGAAACAAAAGGTGAGGATGCTTTTAGATACAACAAAAGCAGAGAGTTCCTTTAATAGTAACCAGAGTGGGGGAAAAGGAAGATACCTCCACTCTCTCAGACAGAGAAGAGAAGGGAGCTCTCTTGCCGATGTCCCAGAGAGGAGGGGCTGTGAGTCTCCCAGCCTTGCCAAAGACCCCCTGTTCCCGATAAGGTCTGATGCAGCACAGCCTCCATCCTTAAGGACCACGTGGATTTGGTCAATGAATAGGTTGTCTGCATTGGAACTCTCCCCCTCACTCCCTCAACTTCCCGCCAGCCCCACCCTTTGTCTTTGTTCTGCCCTGGATTAGGGTAAAGGCAGCTGCAAGCGTGGCTAAACATCCTGCCTGCCCAGTGGGCTAAGGGGTCAAAGTAGAAAATGAGCCATTTCTTGCACATCGAAGTTGGGGGCCAGAGATCCATCTACACTACACAGCTATGTATACTAGTGGAGCAGTATGATGGACAGAGCTTTGCTGGAGTCAGACAAAGGGGTTGAATCTTGGGGCCCACTTATTTTTTGTTAATTTTTATATTGGAGCACAGTTGATTAACAATTAATTGTAACCTCCAACAAATTTCTTAGTGGGGACTTAGCTTTCTCCTGTAGGAAGTAAGGATAGTATTATCTACTGTGGCGGTCATAGAGGTGCATGCCGAGACTTCCCCTGGAGTGAGAACCTGCTGTGCTGAGTGCAGTCAGCAGACAGCCTTGGGCTGCTGCGCCTTCGGGATCCACCAGGGCATTCAAGCAAGGACCTGCTCTCCCCAGGCTGCTCCCAGCCACCGACTGAGCACAGCACGTGGACTAGAGCCTGAATGTTTCTGCCCAACATGAGGCTCCTCTAGTGCTCTGGGGAGTCCCCAGCTCCGAGTGGGAGATTTTCTCAAGGCTACATCACAGTCTGAGGCTCCTCCTACCCACTTTTTCCCTCCCCTTTTCCTTTCACAGAGTCAGAACTACAACAGGTCTGAAGGCTGTCCCTGCCAGTTCTGTCCCTGTTCCCTTTTTCCTCTCATAGGCATTTTCCCTAATAAATCTGTACTTCGAATTCCACTTGTCTGCTTCCCAGAAGATCCAAACTGATATAACTACCCTTAGAAAACTGTTCTAAAAATTGGAAACAATAGCATAGTTCCTGTCTTTTGGTAGCTGTTAAAAAAAGGTTAGCTTCCTTCAGCTGGGATGCATTAGAGTCAGGGACTGGGTAATACATTCTCCTATATTCGCTCAGTGCTTTAATCGTGGACTTCAATAGTCAGTAATGTGTCTGTCTAACTACAGTTAGACTTAACATAGGACTCCAGACTCTGGGCTATCCAGATTATTTGCAGGCAGATAACCAGGTGTGTGTGTGTGTGTGTGTGTGTGTGTGTGTGTGTGTGTGTGTGTGTGTGTGTGTGTGTGTGTGTGTGAATAGGTGGGTTCGATTGGGGAGAAAATTGGCTTCGGAGCCAGACAGATCTAAATCTAATCCTAATTTGCTGTGTGACCTTAAGGAAATCCCTTAACCTCTCTGTCTTCAGTCACCTCAACTATATAATGGGGATAATACTGCCCTACCTTACTAAGTAACTGTGAGGGTTAGAGATAGTAACTGTGAGGGTTAGAGATAATCTATATAAAGCACCTAGCACAGTGTCTGGCCCATTGTAAGCATCTAATAAGAGAACGTATTGCCTGTACATCCTTATTCTTACCCTGTACCCTTATTGCCTGTATCTCCTTTCATTCATTTGATATTTATCGTGGGCCTAGTATGATAGGAACTTGAGACACAACAGTGAACCAGACAGGCACAGATCATTGCAGAGCCTGACAGGTAGGCATGGCACAGCACATCCAGTAATTATAACAGAAACACTTAGATGGTGCTTATTATGTGCTAGGTACTGTTCTAAATAAGAGCTCTACTACACATTCACTCATTGAGATTTTACACCAAACCAACGAGGTAGGTATTTGCTCAAGATTACATAACTAGGGATGTAATCCCTAGTGTAGATTAGTATGGATTTGAACCCAGGCAGTCTGGATCCAGAGTCTGTACTTTTAACAGCTACGCTGTGTTGCTCTAAACATTTGAATTGAATTTTATGATTCCACAGAGCATGAATGATCCTTACATAAGCATATAACAAAATCTAGTGAATTAAATCAGTAGGAAAAACAGTTATTTCCTTCAGAGAAACACAGGCACAGAAATAGTAAGTCAGCTGAGCAGGTGTAGACATTGGTGACCCACACGGTAGCAGTTACCACCCCTACCCCCCCACCTCCTCGCCATTTGCTCGGCTTCGAACTCAGCAGCTGTTTTCTGGTAATGGCATTAGAAGAAAAGTTGCTCTAATATGGTTTTTCATCTTACTTAACCCTGACCTTTTCATCTGCTATAACCACAGGGCTCTTCTAGTTCTAATAAATTCCAAATTTTCAATGTCATAATCTATTATGCCTCTAGGAACTTTCTGTCAGAAAAGTTAAAGGAGTCAAATCCGTATGTTTTATTTGTAGTTTTCTTTTCATAAAAGTGTCCACATGACTGCATTAAATAATTTGCTGACTGTTTGCAAGGCAATCAAGGTGGCAGTAAGGACATCAGACCCTGGACACCAAGTTCATTTCTTATTACGTGGCAGACACCACACAGCTCTGGATGCCTGGGTAAGCCAACATGACAGCAGCAGTTTGTTCCAAGAAATCCTTTAGATATATGACAACATACCATCATCGTGACCATTCTAGAATAAAAATGACAATGCTAATATGATAAAAACAAAACCTACCAACCTCTCCTAACCAGTCAAGAATGATTAAGACAAAAAAAGTGATTGTACTTACAGGGGGACATTGTGCAAGTTTATCAGCTGCCACCAGTTGAACATTTAAGTGTTTACTTTGGGACTTTCCTCTAGATTTAATCAACCGCTGTAAAACCTGATAGAAGAAGACATGAATCTGAGATACTGTCAATGAGCTGAAAGAAAACCAAATAAATCCAGACCTTTTTTCATAGTCTATTTAGCCTGAGTATTAATAGGGAGGAAATACAATATGACAAGTCATATATATATATATATATATATATATATATATATATATATAAGGAGAAAATACAATATGAAAAGTCATATATATATATATATATATATATATATATATATATATAAACTCTGTAATGATATTAACCACTTACACTGGCTTTCAGTTATAGTGGATTTGACATGTTCATCCTATTCTCACTCCATGTGAGGTCTTGGTGGCATCTGGAGTTCCCACCCTAGATTTTACCCAGAGATTTCAAAGAGAGCCCTGCAAAAGTGGAGGCACTGATCTGTACCAGGTCATTTATGTCCAAATTTAGTTCAGTAATATTTTGGTTCACTATCTCAATGTCAGATAAATATAAGAGTTACATATATTTGACCCTTTGTGTCACTGATAATTAAGGCATTCCAGTCTAATCTTACATTAAAGGACAATTTCATGATCGAAATCTAGGCAGAACATTTGTACTGGTGTATTGCTACATATAAACCAGGGAAATACCTATGTCTTTTGGGCACTTCTGTAACTGCATTTTTCCATATACTCATCTTTCCCTTAATATTTTTTTTAGCTGAAGTAAGACCCTTCCCCCCAACTACCACTAATCTATGAGGCTCAGTGATATCTCAGCACATATATCCACAGGAGTCCCCGTTCCTGCACTTACGGACCCCACGGTGACTGGGGCAAGAGGGGTTGAAATCTATTCCACTGCAGTGAAGGGTGCTTGATTCCCCTTCAGTTCTGGGTCAAAGAGACTCCAAGTGCTCAAGGCATTTTCAATCCATTTTAATGATTCCCCAAAGGTCCTGGTTTGGTCAGGATTCCCAAGCTCATCCTGCACAGAACCAGTGCCTGTAGAGATGGAAAGCTGAGAAGCTCAGAAGCATTGGGAAGGGCACATTCTCTACCTGTGAGAGGAGACCCCTGTTCTGGTTGGAAGTTGAATTGGCATTTAAGCAAGAAAATGCACTCCTAGGGCCACTGAAAAGAAGCTGTTGTTAAGGTAGTACCTCCCAAGGGTATCCATTTCATATTAACTTTTCAGAACATCATCACTTTTTAAATTTTAATTAATTATTTATTGGCTACGCCATGTGACACGAGGGATTTTAGTTCCCCGACCAGTGATTGAACCCATGCTCCCTGCAGTGGAAGCATGGAGTCCTAACCACTGGACCACCAGGGAATTCCCCATCATCACTTTTTTTTTTTTCAAATTTCGATATTTATTTTTAAAAGCAATCTCATTGTACTCTTAGTTTTTATAAATGCGTAATCTATTTTATAAAATTTATTTATTTATTTTTAATTTTTATTGGAGTATAGTTGATTTACAATGTTCTGTTAGTTTCAGGTGTACAGCAAAGTGAATCTGTTATACATATACATATATCCACTCTTTTGTGGATTCTTTTCCCATATAGGCCATTACAGAGTATTGAGTAGAGTTCCCTATGCTATACAGTAGGTCCTTACTAGTTATCTATTTTATATATAGTAGTGCGTATCTGTCAATCCCAATCTTCCAATTTATCCCTCCCCCCACTACCGCCCTGACGCATCATCACTTTTTAAAATTAAAGAACATCCAAGTCAAAAGGGACCACTTTGAGGCTGTCTCACTTTTTTTTTATCTTCCCCATTGGCATAAAGATACATGGCAGATATGCCATTGTGCTCAACCACAGAATAACTATACTCCTTGAAGAACCCAACCTAAGCACAAATGTAAGGGTCTATAAAGTTTCCATGAGAGATTTTATACAGTGATGTTTGACTTATATGATAAATATATATGTACTTTTTTTTTAAACATCTTTATTGGAGTATAATTGCTTTACATATATATGTACTTCTTGAACTATGTACTTTCTCAACTGGGGCGAGAATATAGGTGATAAAAGAATCAATATTACCTAAGAGATTTACCAAGATAGAACCTAAAGTCTCTGAAAAGCCAGACTTTACTTTTTCTCACCTTAGTTCTTTTTGTTTTTATTATACTCTTGTATAACTGCCCAGTTTGGGAACCACAATAGACATTGAGCTTCTTGAAGGAATAAACAATTCTTTATGTGCTATCTCGAAATTTCTAGAACCTGTACAGAACAGGTGAATTAAAAACTGCTCATTGAATCTGCCTGCCAATGCAGGGGACACGGGTTCGAGCCCTGGTCTGGGAGGATCCCACATGCCATGGAGCAACTGGGCCCGTGAGCCACAACTACTGAGCCTGCGCGTCTGGAGCCTGTGCTCTGCAACAACAGAGGCCGCGATAGTGAGAGGCCTGCGCACCGCGATGAAGAGTGACCCCCACTTGCCACAACTAGAGAAAGACCTCGCACAGAAACGAAGACCCAACACAGCCATAAATAAATAAATAAATAAATACGTTGTGTATTATTTAAAAAACAAACAAACAAACAAACTGCTCATTAAAAGGGTCTCAACAAGACATTCTCCTTGCCCACTAACAAAAATGCACAGAGCAAAAAATATTTCAGAAGAAACAAGCTTCTAACCCTTAAGACAGAAATGAGCTGATTACCTTTGGAGATGAGACTTTTACATGAACAATAATTGGTGCTAAGGAAGTCTTTATAAGTTGTGCTGGGTGATTGATGGTGTCTGCATCAAGAACAACTAGTTGCAAAGATCTTGCCAACTCAAAGATTCTTTCAATTTCACTTTGTACTTCCGCTAAAAGGAGAAATAACAAATAATAGGTCATGGTATTTTTATTAATTAGTTCCTATATTTAAAAAATAGTACCTCTTTCAGATGTTAGCCTACATTGCAAAACAGAACATTTTGAATTTTCATAGTCCTATCTAACTTAAGATCTTTTCTAAAGAGAGATGGGTTGAGTTTTACATAAAACCAAACAGTTGGTGGAAAAAATTGAGAAGGCTCTCTTGATTTGCTTCTTATGCTCACCCTAATATTTAGCTATTTACATAGCTATGTTGGTTTTTATTGTGCTTTTGTTCTAAAGAACTTTTATTTTAGCTATAGAAGCTGCAACTACATTTTAGGAAGCAATCGAAATACATGTGCAGAGCAACATCACATGGAAAGCAAATTACGCTGAAATACGCCTACCAATCAACAACTCGCATAGTAATATTTTATGGATATGTTTTTTAACATCTCACAACTCATCTATTTTGACTGATATGCATATTTTTGTATCCCTGTTAAATGTTCTGGATCTACTCTTAACAACTAGCATATTGCTAAGTCTTCATTCAAGTGTTAGGGCCAGTGGACTTGTTCTAAGGCATAATTATCTTCAGTATTAAAAAAAAAAAACAAAAAACAACCTAAGATCAATTATATTAAAGTGCCACAATGCATTTAGATGCAAATCTACTTGGCTTGCTGTAATAGCCAACTGACCTGAATCTGTGCACGAATCTGGTCAAATGAAAAATCTAGTTATTTTCAATGTCAAAAGCAATCCAGCTATTTTTTAAGCAAAAATTAAGCAGATTATCTATAAAAACATAATATGGCTTTCTGAAATATAAAAAGCTTTTTAATATATATTTTTATAAATCACCTGATTTATTGATCATGTCCACAGTCTGAATTAGTCTATTTAATTTTCAGAGAGACGATCTTGTTTGCTTTTTCCTTATTTTCATTTTTGGCTATAGGCATGACTTACCAATGTTGTAATCTTATCCAAATTACAGAGAGTAGACAAAGCTACCTAATTTAAATTATTTCAAAGATGGCCTAGGAAAAAGCTGATGTTGCTCTAAATATCCTCATTGAAAAGGGTTTGTACCAGAATCCCATGATTTGTTTTGCTTATTCAGTATAAATTCAAGTTCATGTTACCCACCAAAAATTCTCCCTTCCATAACCAGACAGGTTGACAGGGTGTGTGGGATCATTAATGCTCAAAACTATCACGCAACTCTATTTTCTAGGGCTTTGCTGATAGCATAAAATTCTCATTTCCCACAAAACCACTGGTGTTTAATGCATGATCTGTATAAGAAGTATGAATTTAAAGAGTCATTAGAACCCAGTAGAGGCTGTTCAGTTCAACTTCTGACTCTCAACATGTTCTCTGATTTCCCTCCTGTAATGGGTTGAATTGTATCATCCCTAAATTCATATGTTGAAGTCTTAACCCCTCAGTACCTCAGAATGTAACCTTATTTTTGAGACATCGTCTTTACAGAGACCATCAAGTTAAAATGAGGTCATTAGGGTGGGAATTACTCCTATATGACTGGTGTCTTTATAAAAAGGGGAAATTTGGAGACAGGCACACACATAGGAGAACACCACGTGAAGATGGATGCAGAGACTGGGATGATGCTTCTATAAGACAGGAATGCTAAAGATTGCCAGCAAACCAGCTGAAACTAGCAGAGAGGCATGGAACACCTTCTTCCTCACAGCCCTCAGAAGGAAACAACCCTGTGGATACCTCGATCTTAGACTTCTAGCCTCCAGACTCTGAGACGATAAACTTCTATTGTTCAAGTAAAAAAAAAAGGCAACATATCTATCACTTTTCATATTATCCAATACCAATAGCCTGAAAGATTTCATGTTGCTCTGAAAGGTGACTAGTTTTCAATATATTAATGTAAAGAATCTGGACAATTTGGCTTATTTGCAAAATTCTGAAATACTTTCTACATTTATTAGTAAAAACAACCACTTGTCCCTTTTTTCTCATGTCAGAAACAGAAAGATTTTTTTAATGAGAGAAGTTTGGAAAGTAAAGTTTATTTCTATTGTGGTAAGTTTCTTTCTTTTTTTTTTTTTTTTTCATTAAACTGCCACTGGTTTGAGGTAACTCCTGGCCAGGACTGTACTAGAACAAGGCTATCTTGCTTTAAACTTAAAATCCGAATACAATATTTTCTGAAGTAGCAGAAAGGCAGTGACGCAAAGTAGACTCTGCCCCGGTACAAAGAACCCGTGAGGCACTCTGAGTCTCTGTGTAAATAATTCAGAGACACCTGGGCCTTATTTACTTTGCACCAGCCATGAGGCAAGTGTGGTGTTTTTTGGGAGTATTTTTGGCCACGCCACGCAGCCTGAGGGGTCTTAGTTCCTGGACCAGGGGTTGAACCCGGGCCTGGCAGTGACAGCGCAGTGAAAGCACCAAGGGCAGGCACACCTACAGCTTAACCAAAACAAAACTTGGGCAATGGGTATCAACAGAGAGGTACTCGGGCAGAGCAGGCCAGGAGGCTGCCAGAGGTCCACCCTATATACTGGAGTGGGTCCGATGTTTGGATAATATGTATATGGAATACAATAAATAAGTTATACGTGTGAGAAAGACATATTAACCTACACAGCTCAGTTCTTTTAAAGAAAAACTTTAACCAAACACAACAATCTTGACTACCCAGGCTGATTCCAATCAAAGCTTTATCATGATCTTATTCCAGACAAATGAACTCTGAGAAGTCATGGACCGTGAACCTGGAGGGACCTCAGTGAACACTTCTATAACTTGACCACAACTGGTCTGGACCCACCTCTCCCCAGCATCTCTGTCACCTGTGCCCTTTCTCTACTTCAATGGCTCCCTGTGGCCCAAAGCAACATTTTCCAAAGGCAGTACCCTGGATCACTAATCTCATGAGATAGCCTACACAAAGAAGGGTTTTTATTGCAAGGGAGATATCACATGCTATAATAGTTTCTCTTGCAATTTCAAATGTATATTACCCTCTTTATCTTAATGCCTCTAAGAAGCGTTGCAGTGAAGAAATCTGACAGCTATTTAATCCGTAAGTTTCAAATTTATTTGACTGCGGAAAACATACTATTAGTATCCTTTAAAATCAACATTTTGTGGAATCTATTTTGGTGTCTCTTTAGCAAGGCGTACTAGAGCCTTAACATACTGGCCTCGATCTGTTTTTTCAGTCTCTTCTGTTGTTCTCAAATCATGCCCCCTACTTCCTTTTTCTAAATATGCTCTGCACAAAACAACTTGTTTCTCAACCACACAGTGTTTATATGTCAATGCCTTTGCACATTCTTGACTGCCCTAAGAACCAGCTCAAAAAGAACTTCTGTGAAGTCTTCTCAGACACCTCTTACTCTCTACCCTTCTTTCTTTATACTTTTAGTACTTTGCTCATAATTCCATTATCACACAGTATTTTAACCATCACTCCCCTTTTTCTGTTTGCCTGTGGCTAAGATACTTTGCCTTATTTATGTCTGTACTTCCTAAGTCTGGTACAATGCATGGCAGTAACAAGTGTTCAATAAACATTTGATGAAAGGATCTACACATGTGCATTAATAAGCAGACAAATGGGCATAAGTGGCTCACATAGTGGTTATTATAATAGGCTGCCATTAAATTATCTCCAGTGGTTGTGGGAGTTATGACTTTACAGAGTAAAAAGGAAAACCAGTGAACTGATACACCAACCCCACTGCACCCACTCCACTGACTCTGACAACAGGTGACTACATAGGTGATATGGAATGACCTCACAGAATGCCCATTACACTCTAGGCTGGTGCAAGATGGCTGAAAAAGTCAGGCAACCTAGCTTATGTTTTTAAGTGTCCTTTAGCCTCTCATTATACATCAGAGGAAGGAATGGTTAAGAGTCAAAGGCACTGTGAGGAGTGGAAAGGAGGGTGGAAGACAGGAGAACAGAGAACAGATGCTTATTTGAGAAACCTTCAATCTAATTTGGTATCCTTGTCACCCATGATATACTACTTTAGTCAGTTACCTAATCTGATTCATCATCATCAACTCTGCCATCAACACCCCTGAAGGTCAAAATACTGTGCCTTTAAGAGTGTTTCACTCTGTCTGTGGAAGGCTCTAAATACAGAACTAAAGAAGGAACCACTGATGTCTGGGATCCTCCTCTCACAAACGCTGACAACTGTCCCATTTGGTAGTTCAGCATTCTTTCAAAAAGCAGCTATCCAACAAACATTTATTGAGGAATTACCATGTGCCAATCCCAGGCCAGGAATAGAGACGACACTCGTCTCTTTCCACCTACATAATTCTTGGCATAGCCTTTAATGGACACTTGATGGGATATTTGGGCATGCAATCTATCTTAGAAACCCTAATTTTAGAAAAAGTTTTCTATCACCTACAGAGCTCATTTAAGTAGTTTTTTAAAAAAAATGTAGTGGCATAGTAAAACCCTGTCTTTCCTACTCTGCCCATGAGGAATAGGGCAGTAAACAAGTTGCCCTCAGAATGTGAATGCAAAAGAGAGTTATAAGTGGACTACACCACTCCGGGCCACCATAGAAACCACAAACAGGCTTTTGAGATGAGTGATATGATTCTCCTTGCAGCCTGGACCCACTTCTGTGGTTGGTGAATCCATCCTCCACAGCCTTGCTCCTGCATGGCTTGACGGAACTAATCACATATAGTGCTTTTTCTTCTCCATCGTGGTGAATTTCAGGATGCTTTCTGATTGGTTCACCAGGAAAGACATGTTTAAACTCCCTGAACGGTATTAATGGTGGTTGCTACTTCCACTTAAGGATGTGACTACTCTGGGTACCAGCTGGCAGCAGAAACCACACTGAGAACATCATTATCTAGCTTCCTTCTAAGGATCTGGGAAAGGTGGACATCTCATTTCCTTTCATGTCAGCTGTGACTTCCGTATGACAGATATCATTTGCCTCAGGCAAAGCAGGGATGAGTGGTTTCGCTCGTTGAGGCAGTAACAGAGGAGGACAACCTGTTGAGGATTCTTCCTACCAGACTACTAATTAGATAAGTGACTGGAGCTGAGAAAGAGGAGTCTCAGGCTACTGCAGGACTCTGCTCCCTGCTTTTCCACGGCTAGCCTTCTTGTCAGTTAATCAGCGCTTCCCCCTTCAGAATGGGGAAAATGGGCAAATTGGAAAGACATTCACAAATGCAACATGTGTCACCCCGGTCTGAGAGCGCAGTACCACATTTGAACATCTTACCTAAGCTGGACCGAGTGTTTGAGCGTTCAATTATTGCTCTCTTGCTGGGATTATTTAGGACAGACCTCTTAGCAAGAGAAATGTCAGCTGTCACTCTTGTTATTGATATCCTATGAATAGGAACACAGAACAGAACAAGCCAGTAAAAATGTCATGGGGCTCTCCAAGAGATTTATAACCACAGTACTTAATAACCGCCTCACATACTATACTGCAACCACAGTACAATAAACATTGGCCACAAGTGTTTTTAAATAGGATTTGGCTAGCATTAAAATACAGGCAGAGCAGAATGGAGGAAGGTTTTGGCTATTTAACAAAAAAAGACTCCAGGAAAAATGCAGCTCTTCCTCCACTATTGTCTGCCTTGCCGAATTCTCCTTATAATACACACCATACCAGGAGGGAATCAAAACATATGAATAAACCATGCTCTTTCTAGGAAGCAGCAATACAATTTCCCCACAATTCACAGTTGATTTGCTCTTGAACAAGACTTTCAGGAACTGCGAATGCTCTGCCCAGGTGCATCAATGCTGCTGGTCAAAGGGGGAAATCCTCTTCATTCCAATCATCAAAGACAATCAGCTGTGTTGCATTCCTGATGCTCAACAGTTAACTCATGGTACATGAAGCATTTCGCCACAGGCCCAAAGGAATGTTTCATTTCTAAGAATATGAAAAATATGATTTCTTTTCTGCAGGCACAAGGATTCTTCAGCATATTTGCATATTGCTTTGAATGCATATTGTGGGCAGTAATAAGACACTATTGCTGAAGGCAATATAAGGATTGTTCCAGGATTTCCATAAGTTAGAAAGTATCCTGCAGTCATGCAAGACAAGAATAAAACAGAGACACTGCAAATGAATGGAGACAGGGGTCTATCTGTATATGATGAGAATCTCTGGAATTTATAATTTTAAAATTCTTTATTTTAAGCTGGGATTTCACAACTTCAGATTATGATCTACCTGCAGAATGCAAAGAATGCCTCTCTAAGCCAGCTACTGCCATCATGGGCCCTTCTTCATTCTTATCTCCAAAACTTGGCAGAGTTCCAGGACGGAGCCAGAAGAGTCCTGCCCCTTCCCTTTTATACTCACTGCACGCATTCTCCCCCACTTTCAAACATCTCTAGCTGGTGGAGCAGGGAAGAGGGTAGAGTTATCAACAATTATTGAGCCATATGTCATCTCACACCTATGTGGGGACAACACAGCACTCTCAGGAGACTCTTCACCTGACTTCAGGGACCTGAATCCTTGGGGAGAGTTTAAAATAGTCCTTTTCATAAATGGTTGGAAATGATTTCTTTAAAGCAACAGGCTGTGCAAAAGTTCTGGTGCTCTTTTAAAGCAAAGTACTCCTTGTTTGCATTGTTGTATATATAAGCTATAGATGGTCAGGAAGTTTAAAAATTTTTAACTTCTTAGAATTTTTTAGGCTCTAATAAATTATTCGAGGCATCTTCAAATTGTCTTCTGCAGAAATCAAGAATTTTGTGAAATACATCTCAGGCCACTGAGAATGTGAAATGGGGGCTGAGTAGGCCAGGAGGGCCCCAGCTTTCTGACCCTCAATGCCAGGCAAACACCCCTGCATTTATGTTTTCTACACAGAGGGCTTATCTATGATTTCATTGTAAGAACTTGTTCAACTGCTAAAAGATACTGTAAAACACTGGTCTGTACAACTTCTTCATTTTTAAAAATTAATTAATTTATGTTTGGCTGCATTGGGTCTTTGTTGCTGCACGTGGGCTTTCTCTAGTTGTGGCGAGCAGGGGCTACTCTTTGTTGTGGTGTGCAGGCTTCTCATTGCGGTGGCTTCTCTCCTTGTGGAGCACGGGCTCTAGATGTGTGGGCTTCGGTAGCTGTGTCTCGTAGGCTCTAAAGCACAGGCTCAGTAGTTGTGGCGCACAGGCTTAGCTGCTCCACGACATGTGGGATCTTCCTGGACCAGGGTTCGAACCCGTGTCCCCTGAATTGGCAGGCGGATTCTTGGTATCTTCTTTTTTTTTTTTTTTTTTTGCGGTACACGGGCCTCTCACTGTTGCGGCCTCTCCCATTGCGGAGCACAGGCTCTGGACACGCAGGCTCAGTGGCCATGGCTCACGGGCCTAGCCGCTCCACAGCATGTGGGATCTTCCCGGACCGGGGCACGAACCTGCGTCCCCTGCATCGACAGGCAGACTCTCAATCACTGCGCCACCAGGGAAGCCCTGGCAGGCGGATTCTTAACCACTGCACCAGCAGGGAAGTCCCACTTCTTCATTTTATCAAGAAGAAAAGTGAGACACAGAGAGGAAGTTACACATGGTTATTTAGAGTCTAAGAAGGTCTAAAGCACAGGCCCCTAAGCACCAGGCCGTACTTAGTCACCTGACTCATAATTCTCTTACAGTTTCAGTTTTCTTCTCCAGCAACGCTGAATCTCCTGATACCAGCCACATCATCAAGTGCAGATCTTGGCCACACGCTGAGAGATGGTCAAGATCTAAATCAGGTTGAAGTCAGTGAAGCCCACATCTGAGTCTCCATTACTCAGTTGGCTGCTGCCCTTGAGGCATGAAATCTCATAGGTGGTCTTTGCGGTCATAGCTCCTTTTACCTACAGAAGAGGATTTGCTTATTTTTGAGTGTCTGGTTTTTTTGTTTGTAGTTTTAAGAATGGAGTTGCTGGTTAGAAACATACAGTTCATTTCCAGAGCAATTCAAATATATGACTGGAGACAAGTGGGTTGGTTTAGGGACAGAATTCAACCTTCTAGAATAATGATTTTTAGAGGGCCCAAAGAGTCTACTCTGCTTCGGTGAAAATCCAATTTGCTAGCTCTGTACTAGCCAAATAGTGACCCATCGTTCTTAAAACTTGAAAGGATTATCAACAGATGTGCACTCTTATTTCTTCTGGGTTTTAACACACTTTTACCAAGCCATTTTCAGACACATCCAAAGTTTTACCAAAAAAACAAAACAATAACACACATACACAAAAACAGAAAAAAAAAACCTGCTTCATGTATTCCCAAACCAGGAAAAGGCGTGGACAATAAAAGGTTCTTTTTCTTCTTTTATTGGTCAATAAAATAGCAGCTAATTTGTTAATATAGGTTATTTCTTAATAAAAATACACATTATGAAACAGCTCAGGAGAAGACAGACACAGCTCCAGAAACACTCTAATAAGACAAAGCAGGAGTTTTTATTTTCCATGCAAAGATGCTTACTATTATCAGACTCAGACACCAAATCCAAACTTTTTTGTTGTTTTAAGGCTCCCCAGCAATGTAATTACGTTCATCATTAAATGCTAGTCTATTTACTTTTTTGTTTTTTTACTTAAAGTTATACCCTTTCTATTTCTTTTTTTGCTGTACTCATATCCGCTAGTGTCTTTCAGCACTTCTATGTATCTTATTTGATATACATCTCTAAAAAGTTCCCTTGGAAACTTTTTTGTGATGTAGTGTCAGTAATTACTAGCCTGGAGATAAAAGACTAACAGAAGTGCAGTTCCCCAGCAGACTAGGTATATATCTCTAAATCTAGTAAATCTGAACCCTAATTATTGCTTATTTCTGGTTTGGAATTCATTATTTCTGCAGTCCATTATGTGCTATGAGTATTAGTTGTCTGTGATTTTTCTATGGAAAGATATTACTCTTAGGTGAGACACACTCATTCAACAATAATTAGTATTTCCATGTTGATAATGGAACAGCTAAAGATCCTTCTATACTCTATCCTTGCCACATCTAATATGCAACCCTGTTAGTATATTAGTTTTTATTAAAACTCTTAGACTTCCTTCACAAAGGAAAAACATTCCAAAGATCAGACAGCACACTGTCAGAAGAACAGGAATGGAAGGCATATGTAGACCTCGGTACTCTTCCTGGGTCTTCCTCTTGGCTGGTTGTGTGACCATGGTCAAGTCATGCCATCTTTTGAGCATCAATATCATAATCAATAAAGTGGTGATAGTGGCTTTGTTGAATTATCTCACAGGATTGTCATTAGGAGCAAACCAGGTAATATATAAAAGTGCTTTCTTAAATAATTATTCATAGTGTCCTATGTTGATAGGCACATATATAATGTATACAAGGTAGCTGTTGGAGATTTGAGACTTGAAGGAGACAGTTTCTTTATATTCTATCCTCAAAAGTTAGCAGTCTATGGGCTTCCCTGGTGATGCAGTGGTTGAGAGTCTGCCTGCCGATGCAGGGGACATGGGTTCGTGCCCTGGTCCGGGAAGATCCCACATGCCGTGGAGCGGCTGGGCCCGTGAGCCATGGCCGCTGAGCCTGAGTGTCTGGAGCCTGTGCTCCGCAACGGGAGAGGCCACAACAGTGAGAGGCCCGCGTACCGCAAAAAAAAAAAAAGTTAGCAGTCTACCATGAACTCTCCCATTCTTGGAGTCTGTGAAATTTATATATACTTTGAGGATGGGAGAATAAGGTCAGACATGTTTGCAATCAAAATCTGCTAATTTAAAAACTCATATTTGGCATTAAAGTGTTCAATTAGTTATCTCTAGTGCTTGAGTGTCCACTGATGAGTCTGCATTTGAATACAGAGTAGTAGGAGGAGATAATAAGAGGATGATATTGGTTATGAAACAGAAGGCACTGTATTATTCTTTTCCATTTGTTGACTGCAAATCTGCCATGTCTTGGCTGCTTTGTGATAGCATCAGCTGTTGCCGTGTCCTTTTATAAATAAATACTACTTCTTTGAGTCTCCCTAAATTATATTCTTAGCCTCCTTTCCTCAAATTATTTCTCAAACCTTTTTTTTTTTTTTTTTCTTTTAAGCATTCCTTGGCTAATAGCTTCAGATCCTATTTGTATGTTCATTTATGATTTGGGGCCATAATCAGGTCAGTTACAAAGTGTCCTATAACTGCCATAGAGCTGAGCTGATCCAGTTGTCAAAAAGCCTAAAGTTACAACTTTGTTGGATTTGAAATGATTAGCATAGGTCAACAAATTGCAATTGGTTTGACTGCTTGCTGTTCAGCCTATGAATGGTGGATTCAACAAGCTGAACAAACCTCATCTGAAAGGATGATCCCCCGTTGAATGTTGGTGGTGTTAAATGAAGAGAGAAGAGCTCCATGCCATTGTGCATCCACTGTGTCCCTGCCAGGCTGGTGCCACTGTACCAGCTCGTTAGGCTCACTTAGTTTATGATCTGTGCATAGGAATTGTCACTATGTGTGGAGATCCACATGTACAGGGGTTCCCTCAGGAAGTATTTAGTATTGTGCTTTCCATTTTTCTTACATAGATTCTAGTTAGGCCCCACAATAGCAATAAAATTGCAAAATAAGTAAGTAGATTTAAACTGATTCAAATAATTTCTAAGGTATAATAAAAAAATAAGCATATGATTCTGTAATAGTCAATGTTGGATTTTAATCCAATTTGTTGAATTATTTTTTAGCCAAGATCTGAAAAACGGTATTGAAGAAGCAAGCCTTTTAGCCGTGTTTTTTTTTTTTTTTTTTTTGGCTCTTTCTGAAAAAGAAAAGATTTTATCCTATTTTGTCTAACCTACTGCATTCATAGCCAACGAAACACTGTGTAGGTTTCCATTAGAACATATTGTTTATGTTGTATTGCTGTGCAAAAGCCCACTGTGTAATTGTTCTCTTGCCTGGTTTCAATTAAAGACTATTTGTTGTTTTCTCTCCTTTTATTAATTGGTAAAACATAACACAGCAGATTGCCGTGGCTCAGAATGTAAGGATATTCCCCACACGGCAGACATGTCAGAGTCACTGTGTATCCACATTGCACATACCTTCTTCCTTACCAAAGTCTCTCTATATATACTCAACCAATGAATTCATTATCGTTTTTCTGCTGCACTGGCCTCTTCTAATTTGAAAGCAAATCCACTCTCCTACTCCCACTTTTAATACCTAGCTTTCTCCAACTCTGCCATACATCAGATCTCTCTAGGGCTGAGTCTCTTTCTCCAGCTATTACTTTTGCTGCTGCTGTATTCTTCCTCATATCTCCAGACCCTCTGCTGTGCCGTCAGACCCCATGGAACACTTGGCATTGAAATTTTAATTCTATTTCTACCAAAACCAACTTCAATAGTGTGTACAAGTGCTTGGTGAATCAGGTAACTCTAGCTGGTAAATCTCTGCTCTTACAGTTAAATGTATTTCCTCTTTCTGGGTCTGAAGATTGAGGAAGAACCTCAGATTCTTCATTCTTGAAGGCAGTAATTAAGTCACTCACTTTCTCTTTGCTAAATTATAATAATTCCTTTCTTCTTTTCCATAGGTCCTACCTTTCAAACCTTTAATTACACTGCTGCTTACAAGGATGTTAAGTGGGGACCAAAACAATCTAACAGAAGCTTAGATTGCGTATAGGATGGCATTTGTTCAGCTCAAGGGCTATTACGGGGCCACAGGATGAGGCACTTCTCAGAACTTCCTTAACTAAAGGCACTGCAGGTTAGAACCATGTGACTCTAAGCACAGCTGAAGGAAGTGTGATTGACTGAGCCAGGCATATCAGCTGCGGCCAACCCAGGGAGAGCTGCATGAGGATAAGGGTGATGGCATCTGTCATCAGAGGCAAGGACCGACACCAATATTATTAACTTAAGGAGTCAGAGTTCAGCTGTTTCTTTGTAATGCTTTTTTAAGAAGTAATTTCCCAGTAGTCAAAAGTTTTCCAACAGAAGAAGGTTATCCATCTACCTATGGTTTGGGGACATAAGAGATTAGCCTAAAAGGACTTTTACATTTCCTTCCAACTCCAAGAGTCTAGTACTCAGTGCTTTTCACTTGTTTTCTCTGAAATTACTTCATTCTCTGCCTATTTGTTAAAAAAAAAAAAAAACAGAAACAAAAACAATAAAACAGAGAATAGGATACATCCATGACTTTCTTATTAAGCCCTTTGTGTCCACTAGATAAGTGTGGCAGACTATTATTTGTTCAGCAAAATCCATTTACTCTTCCTCTTGGGCACACAGCTAGACTGTAATTCCCAGCCTCCTTTGCAATTAGGTGTGGCCACATGACTAAGTTCTAGCCAATGAAATGTGAGAATGATGTGAGTCACTTCCAGGCCAGCTTGCTCCTCTCTCTACAGCTAATTGGAGAGACCAACCCCAGGTCAAGGGTCCCAAATGACAGGCAGGACATTTTTCCCAGTCCTTCCCTCCTCCACACTACCCACCTTCCCAGCTGAGGAACACCTGCCTCAGACTATTAAATGAGCAGCACTAAGCTTCCACTGTGTTTGATTCATTGCACATTTTGGGCTCTACTTATTAAGGCAGGCTGGCCTGTACTAAGACACTTAGCAATTCATATAATGGCACTGAAGCATTCTCCTTTCTTGAACTAAAATCTCAATTATTGGAACTAAAATCTCCGTTTATTTTCTTTGTATATAGTCCCAGAAACTAACAAATATTTCAAACACAATTATCCAGAAGGTTTTTCTTTTGACAAAAACATACCATTTGTACTTAAAGCATTATCATGTTTGCTTGTTTTCTTAAAATACCATATTTTAAAAAATCTATTTGTGGATATTTTAAAAATGTCTTCAAATACTTAAATATTTGATAAGCTGGATGCATTTAACCATACTTAGCACACACTAAGTTTTCTTCATTTCTAATAAGTCGTCAGGTTTTTGCACATGGTTATTTTTACATGGAGTGCATTCTGAATTGTGAAAGAGCTTGGTACTTAGTATTGAGTCAGTATGGACTTTTTACCATTTCTCTGCAAAATACAGAAACTCTTTCCAGATATTTTTCACAAAACTTAAATGATAAAATTTTCTGATGGTTAAAGACTGAGCCCTGTTGATAATGGGTCATAGTGGGATAGGATACATACAAAAGAAACCCATAAAAGAGCAACGAAATTTCTAGTAAAACAAACCCAGAACTGAACATCCAAAGCACTATTCCCTACAAAATAGTCATTTTTGGAAGCTTATGATGAAAACATTTCTTGCACTCTTCTTTTAAAGAAATTCAGTATTTTATACCTTCATATGATACACACGCATACATGCATGCACACGCACAATTCCCAAATGACACTACCCATCTTGACCAGTGAGGCACCATATTTGTCAGAAATATTCTATATTTTCATTATTTTTTATAAACATAAGTTTGGTATGAGTTCACTAACAAGTGAAAAAATAAAGACTGACACATACATATAAATAAAACAAATGGATAATTTTCCTTCTGAAGGTCCTTTTTCTTTAAGGGATTCAATGCTATACGTCATAACTTCGTATTTTCAGAGCACTTTCATTGTATTCTCCCCTGAACACTGAGTTAACTTTTAATTAGAGAACATCTGCAATCACCAGAAACATAGATCCACAAATCAATTTATCATTCATGTTTGGTTAAAGGAAAATAAAGAATACAAAAGCATCTGTGTGCCTCACCTCCCATCAAACCTGTGCTTCAGGAAATCAAAGAGGGCTTTCTGCATCATGTCTGTGACCTTTGCAGAGGTGAAAAAAAAAAAGAATGAGGCAAACACACGCAGAGAGAGAAAGAAGTCAAAAGTGAGAGAGCTGAAAGGGAAGGCATTCTGACGGAGCCAAGATCTGATCACAGCCACTCGTCTGGTGGAGGCGGGACAGGGCAGGTGACCGTGGACAGAGTCTGTCATACTTAACCGGTTGCACTTACTCAGCTTCCCCGCTTGGTTCTCCTCTGGGGGGTTGAGGCACGAACCAGCAGTGTTCACTAGATCCAAGGCAAACCCTCTTCTCCCTTCAGGGGGTGGAACTGCCACCGACAGTCCACGATAGGCTATAGCTCTGTGCGCAGGTGCGGCCTATCCTTGGCGTACCTGAGTGGTGCCTGCCTTCAGTGAGGGGCAGCTAGAGCTCCTCAGGCCCGCCTGGGGCTCTGCCTCCTGCTAGTCTGTGCAAGTCGGTGGAAATCCTCCACGCCTAGGGCTGGATTTCTGTACCCGGCTCTCCTGCTCTTTCTCTGATGCTCCCCACTGAGAAGGGGAGAGGAGACGAAGGGGAAGGGGAAAAGGGAGGGTGGGGGACAAGGAGATGGGATTCTTAAATCTGCCTCAAAGAGACTCATTAATTCACCCAACAAATGGGTACTGAATGTCTACTATGTGCCAGCCACTAAGCTAACTCAGTGGTGGGAAGGGTGCCTTGGAGGTTGCCCACCTTCAGATTTTACCCACTTATTCTTATCCATGCTGGCATAAAGCCAAAATGGCAACATCTGAAATGCAGTGATCGAAGTCTTTACTCTTTTCCTTTTTGCATGGTTTTGTTTAATTAATCTCTGAAGGAGTTCACTAATACTTTTAGTGGAGTGTTTTTTTTTTTTTCTTTAATATGGTCTTTAAAGTAAAGAAGCAGAGTAATGTTTCGTGGAATATGTCATTGTCTTGAGCACGCAGCAAGGTGAGATCTGTTGGTGCTTTGAGGTGAGGTTTGCTGGCATATTGCCTATATGTTCCCTTGTGCTGTTCATACTCTATTATTTCTAATAGCAACGGGAACAGCTGAGACAGAAAAAATCCTTTTCTTTGAATTGAATGCAGAGCAAATTTTTGACCAGAACTTCCCATTATAAATATTTTGAGGGAGCTATTTCGGAACACTGTAATATGTGAAAGGCAAGAAGTGGGCCAGGGAGGGAAGAAAGAGTGAAGAGCCACGTAAGCCCCGCGCTGCACTTCCTGCCTTCACGAGCTGAGGGCTGGCTTCTGTTAGGACCCATGTGAAAGCAGACCCTGAGAAGCAAGCTCCAAATGGCTGTCACCTAGGTTCTTGATCAAGAACTGAAGCGTAACAGACTGGTATTTGTACCTCATAACCCTTCAGTGACGGCCCCACTAACACCACCGGACGCATGGATGGCACAACATCGTAGGGAGGGATGTGCTCCGTCTGAAAAAGATGATTGGACACGCGTGACAAGGGGAGGGTCAGCACACCTCCTCCACAGCCACAACATTCACAATCCTCAGGTCAAATGAGAAATGATGACCACAGGTCCCACCAAGGAGACTCCTCCCTTATTTTATAGCCATTTGGGTCACTGAAATGGAGCATTGCAGGCATGTATGGATAGAAACCTTCACAGCAGATTTAAAAAGGAAACACAACTTACCACTTTTTGCTTCTGTTTTGCTAAAAGACAACAATGAGAGCCATATCAAAATATGTAATCTCTTGTCATTGTTAGCACATGCTTTTAAAAGATGGAAGAATGTACCAATTTGTTGCTGTCATTTTCGTCATTTTCCAATTCACCCACCCTGCAGAGCACCACTCTACTGTTTCATACTGGTCGGGCCAATTTTGAAGACAGATGCAAAAACAGACAACTTCCTCTCCGTTAGAATGGCCTTATATCCTGATTTCATGCGGGGTGGGGAGGGTGGATTTCATAATAACATTGGCTGGGCCACTCACAGGCCATGGGTTGTTCCTGTGCTGGACACACCATGTTGTGTGGCTGACAGCAACTTGGACAAACCAAATTTGATAAAAAGAAACTTAGAATAACAATTTGGATAATAATGATCATTACCTCACTCACCAGTTATTTTTGGATTTGTAATTTTGGTGAACTATCAAAAAATTTTGCAGTTCTTTTTGTGTTCTTAAGTCTTTCTGCTCACTTTCCAGAATACTGACACATTTTTCCTACTATGTTGCTCTTAATTTCAAGTAAGTTTATAATCAGTTATTCCTGTTCTTTCTTGTTTGTAATAGTGAAAAGCTGCAATGACCTAAGTGTCCAACAAATGGGGATGAGGCAAAATATACTCAATATCTGATTAAAGTGGCTTTGTGGCCACCCAATCAGGTCCAGTCCATTTGCAGACAACCCAGAGACCCAGAGTTTGGTTCAGAGCCATGGAAATCAAGATTCACATGAACACGGACCCAGACACTCAGATCTCTTCCAGAATCAATCCAGTTTCCTGCAGTTATGATAGACCAGGATAGACCTTGGATCTGTCATTCTGAATTGGTAATCCTGGATGACTTAATGCAGCATCAATTCTGGGCAGAATGAAATGAACCTATAGGAGTCAGGGAATGTGGTGGAAGAAAAATTCCTGCTTGAATACCTCTACAGTTTCTAAATACACAACTCCTGACTGGGCCACCACTGTCTCTTCATTACCATTAATTCCAGGGCTCAGTTATCTGCTGTCCAAACAGAAGTGAGGTCATCTGGGCCCAACCTCATTCTCTGCTTCAACCCTCTCCGCCTCCACAGCCCAGGCTGTACCAACACACCCTAAAGTTTTACATGGAGACTTAAACAGAGCATTTTCTTCAGACTTTACAACTTTGGAAAAGCTTTTTAATTGGTTGGCCCTCACCATCTTAAAGTCTGCTGGGTTTCTGGGTGGAATAATGAACTTGCTTCTGAATGATTTATAAAATAGAGGGCAAATAAGATTTTACGATATTATATTACAATGATCTGAATTTCTAGTACCACAAGTATGCTTTAAATCAAATCAAATGACCATAGAAAGCAAATGAGCAATGAAAAGTTAAGTAGAAAAATCTTTAAGTCAAGTCTTTAAACTGCTTCCAAATTAGTAAAAATATTGCATGTATTTTCAAATATTAAGAAAGGAATACATTCCATTAAAAAAAGGTCTAACTGAAACCGTCACCTGTTGATGTGGGGGTTGCTCGAAATGTCCCTGATACCATTTCTCCAAGACTTGAAGAAGAATTTCCACTGGATTTCCTAAGATACAGAAAAGGAACTTAAGACTCATTCCCCAAAGATGGCGGAGTAGAAGGACGTGCGCTCACTCCCTCTTGCAAGAGCGCTGGAATCACAACTAACTGCTGAACAATCATCAACAGGGAGACACTGGAACTCACCAAAAAAAGATACCCCACATCCAAAGACAAAGGAGAAGCCACAATGAGATGGTAGGAGGGGCGCAATCACAATAAAATCAAATCCTATAACTGCTGGGTGGGTGACTCACAAACTGGAGAACACTTATACCACAGAAGTCCACCCACTGGAGTGAAGGTTCTGAGCCCCACGTCAGGCTTCCCAACCTGGGGGTCCGGCAACAGGAGGAGGAATTCCTAGAGAATCAGACTTTGAAGGTTAGCAGGATTTGATTGCAGGACTTCAACAGGACTGGGGGAAACAGAGACTCCACTCTTGGAGGACACACACAAAGTAGTGTGCACATTGGGACCCAGGGGAAAGAGCAGTGACCCCATAGGAGACTGAACCAGACCTACCTGCTAGTGCTGGAGGGTCTCCTGCAGAGGGGGTGGCTGTGGCTCACTGCGGGGACAAGCACACTGGCAGCAGAAGTTCTGGGAAGTATTCCTTGGTGTGAGCCCTCCCAGAGTCTGCCATTAGCCCCACCAAAGAGCCAAGTAGGCTCCAGTGCTGGGTCACCTCAGGCCAAACAACCAGCAGGGAGGGAACCCAGCCCCACCCATCAGCAGACAAGTGGATCAAAGTTTTACTGAGCTCTGCCCACCAGAGCAACACCCAGCTCTAACCACCACCAGTCCCTCCCATCTGGAAGCTTGCACAAGCCTCTTAGATAGCCTCATCCACCAGAGGGCACACAGCAGAAGCAAGAAAAACAATTCTGCAGCCTGTGGAACGAAAAGCACATTCACGGAAAGATAGACAAAATGAAAGGGCAGAGGACTATGTACCAGATGAAGGAACAAGATAAAATCCCAGAAAAACTAAATGGAATGGAGATAGGCAACCTTCCAGAAAAGGAATTCAGAATAATGATAGTGAAGATGATACAGGACCTTGGAAAAAGAATGGAGGCAAAGATTGAGAAGCTGCAAGAAATGTTTAACAAAGACCTAGAAGAATTAAAGAACAGCCACCTAGAAGAATTAAAGAACAAACAAACAGAGATGAACAATACAATAACAGAACTGAAAAATACACTAGAAGGAATCAACAGCAGAATAACTGAGGCAGAAGAACAGATAACTGACCTGGAAGACAGAATACTGGAATTCACTGCCGTGGAACAGAATAAAGAAAAAAGAATGAAAAGAAACGAAGACAGCCAAAGAGACCTCTGGGACAACATTAAACGCAACAAACTTTGCATCATAGGGGTCCCAGAAGCAGAAGAGAGAGAGAAAAGACCCAAGAAAATATTTGAAGAGATTATAGTAGAAAACTTCCCTAACATGGGAAAGGAAATAGCCACCCAAATCCAGGAAGCGCACAGTCCCAGGCAGGATAAACCCAAGCAGAAGCACGCCAAGACACATAGTAATCAAACTTACAAAAATTAAAGACAAAGAAAAATTATTGAAAGGAACAAGGGAAAAACGACAAATAACATACAAGGGAACTCCAACAAGGTTAACAAGCTGATTGCTCAGCAGAAACTCTACAAGCCAAAAGGGAGTGGCACGAAATATTTAAAGTTATGAAAGGGAAGAACCTACAACTAAGATTACTCTACCTGGCAAGGATCACATTCAGATTCGATGGAGAAATCAAAAACTTTATAGACAAGCAAAAGCTAAGAGAATTCAGCACCACCAAATCAGCTCTACAACAAATGCTGAAGGGACTTCTCTAAGTGGGAAACACAAGAGAAGAAAAGGACCAACAAAACCAAACCCATAACAATTAAGAAAATGGTAATAGCAACATACATATCAATAATTGCCTTAAACGTGAACGGATTAAATGCTCCAACCAAAAGACACAGGCTCGCTGAATGGATACAAAAACAAGACCCATATATATGCCGTCTACAAGAGACCCACTTCAGACCTAGGGACACGTACAGACTGAAAGTGAGGGGATGGTAAAAGATATTCCATGCAAATGGAAATCAAAAGAAAGCTGGAGTAGCAATACTCATATCAGATAAAATAGACTTTAAAATAAAGAATGTTACAAGAGACAAGGAAGGACACTACATAATGATCAAGGGATCAATCCAAGAAGATATAACAATTATAAATATATATGCACCCAACATAGGAGCACCTCAATACATAAGGCAACTGCTAACAGCTATAAAAGAGGAAATTGACAGTAACATAGTAATAGTGGGAGACTTTAACACCTCACTTACAACAATGGACAGATCATCCAAACAGATTATTACTAAGGAAACACAAGCTTTAAATGACACAATAGACCAGATAGGTTTACTTGATATTTATAGGACATTCCATCCAAAAACAGCAGATTACACTTTCTTCTCAAGTGCACACAGAACATTCTCCAGGATAGATCACCTCTTGGGTCACAAATCAAGCCTCGGTAAATTTAAGAAAATTGAAATCATATCAACCATCTTTTCCAACCACAACGCTATGAGATTAGAAATCAATTACAGGGAAAAAAACATAAAAAACACAAAACACATGGAGGCTAAACAAAATGTTACTAAATAACCAAGAGATCACTGAAGAAATCAAAGAGGAAATCAAAAAATATCTAGAGACAAATTACAACGAAAACATGATGATCCAAAACCTATCAGATGCAGCAAAAGCAGTTCTAAGAGAGAAGTTTATAGCAATACAGGCCTACCTCAAGAAACAAGAAAAATCTCAAAAAAAAACAATCTAACCTTACACCTAAAGGAACTGGAGAAAGAAGAACAAACAAAACCCAAAGTTAGGGCTTCCCTGGTGGCGCAGTGCTTGAGAGTCCGCCTGCCGATGCAGGAGACGTGGGTTCGTGCCCCGTTTCGGGAAGATCCCACATGCCGCGGAGCGGCTGGGCCCGTGAGCCATGGCCGCTGAGCCTGCGCGTCCGGAGCCTGTGCTCCGCAAATGGGAGAGGCCACGACAGTGAGAGGCCCGCATAACGCAAGAAAAAAAAAAAAAACAAAACCCAAAGTTAGTAGAAGGAAAGAAATCATAAAGATCACAGCAGAAATAAATGAAATAGAAACAAAGAAAACAATAGCAAAGATCAATAAAACTAAAAGCTGGTTCTTTGAGAAGATAAACAAAATTGATAACCCTTTAGCCTGAGTCATCAAGAAAAAGAGGGAGAGGACTCAAATCAATAAAATTAGAAATGAAAAAGGAGAAGTTACAATGGACACCACAGAAACACAAGGCACCCTAAGGGACTACTGCAAGCAACTCTATGCCAATAAAATGGACAACCTGGAAGAAATGGACAAATTCTTAGAAAGGTAGAACCTTCCAAGACTGAACCAGGAAGAAATAGAAAGTATGAACAGACCAATCACAAGTAATGAAATTGAAACTGTAATGAAAAATCTTCCAACAAATACAAGTCCAGGACCAGATGGCTTCACAGGTGAATTCTATCAAACATTTAGAGAAGAGCTAACACCCATCCTTCTCAAACTCTTTCAAAAAACTGCAGAGGAAGGAACACTCCCAAACTCATTCTATGAGGCCACCATCACCCTGATACCAAAACCAGACAAAGGTGTCTCAAAAAAAGTAAATTACAGACCAATATCACTGATGAACATAGATGCAAAAATCCTCAACAAAATACTAGCAAACAGAATCCAACAGCACATTAAAAGGATCATACACCATGATCAAGTGGGATTTATCCCAGGGATGCAAGGATTCTTCAATATATGCAAATCAATCAATGTGATACACCATATTAACAAACTGAAGAAGAAAAGCCATATGATCATCTCAATAGATGCAGAAAAAGCTTTTGACAAAATTCAACACCATTTATGATTAAAAACTCTCCAGAAAGTGGGCATAGAAGGAACCTACCTCAACATAATAAAGGCCATATATGACAAACCCACAGCAAACATCATTCTCAATGGTGAAAAACTGAAAGCATTTCCTCTAAGATCAGGAACAAGACAAGGATATCCACTCTCACCACTATTAATCAACATAGTTTTGGAAGTCCTAGCCACAGCAATCAGAGAAGAAAAAGAAATAAAAGGAATACACATTGGAAAAGAAGAAGTAAAGTTTCACTGTTTGCAGATGATATGATACTATACATAGAGAATCCTAAAGAGGCCAGCAGAAAACTACTAGAGCTAATCAATGAATTTGGTAAAGTTGCAGGATACAAAATCAATGCACAGAAATCTGTTGCATTCCTATACACTAACAACGAAAGATCAGAAAGAGAAATTAAGGAAACAATCCCATTCACCATTGCAGCAAAAAGAATAAAATACCTAGGAATAAACCTACCTAAGGAGGTAAAAGACCTGTACTCAGAAAACTGTAAGACACTGATGAAAGAAATCAAAGATGACACAAACAGAGAGATATACCATGCTCTTGGATTAGAAGAATCAATATTGTGAAAATGACTATACTACCCAAAGCAATCTATGGATTCAATGCAATCCCTATCAAATTACCAATGGCATTTTTTGCAGAACTAGAACAAAAAATCTTAAAATTTGTATGGAGACACAAAAGACCATGTATAGCCAAAGCAATCTTGAGGGGAAAAAACAGAGCTGGAGGAATCAGACTCCCTGACTTCAGACTATACCACAAAGCTACAGTAATCAAGACTGTATGGTACTGGTACAAAAACAGATCAATGGAACAGGATAGAAAGCCCAGAGATAAACCCATGCACCTATGGTCAACTAATCTATGACAAAGGAGGCAAGGATATACAATGGAGAAAAGACAGCCTCTTCAATAAGTGGTGCTGGGAAAACTGGACAGCTACATGTAAAAGAATGAAATTAGAACACTCCCTAACACCATACACAAAAATAAACTCAAAATGACCAGACACTATAAAACTCCTAGGGGAAAACATAGGAAGAACACTCTTTGACATAAATCACAGCAAGATCTTTTTTGACCCACCTCCTAGAGTAATGGAAATAAAAACAAAAATAAACAAATGGGACCTAATTAAACTTAAAAGCTTTTGCAAGGCAAAGGAAACTACAAACACGACGAAAAGACAACCCTCAGAATGGGAGAAAATATTTGCAAATGAATCACCGACAAAGGATTAATCTCCGAAATATATAAACAGATCATGCAGCTCAATATTAAAAATACAAACAACCCAATTCAAAAATGGGCAGAAGACCTAAATAGGCATTTCTCCAAAGAAGACATACAGATGGCTAAGAAGCACATGAAAAGCTGCTCAACATCACTAATTAGTAGAGAAATGCAAATCAAAACTACAATGAGGTATCACCCCACACCAGTGAGAATGGGCATCATCAGAAAATCTACAAACAACAAATGCTGGAGAAGGTGTGGAGAAAAGGGAACCCTCTTGCACTGCTGCTGGGAATGTAAATTGATACAGCCACTATGGAGAACAGTATGGAGGTTCCTTAAAAACTAAAAATAGAATTACCACATGACTCAGCAATCCCACTACTGGGCATATACCCAGAGAAAACCATAGTTCAAAAAGACCTATGTACCCCAATGTTCATTGCAGCACTATTTACAATAGCCAGGTCATGGAAGCAAATTAAATGCCTATTGACAGACAAATGGATATAGAAGATGTGGTATATATATACCATGGAATATTACTCAGCCATAAAAAGGAACGAAATTGGGTCATTTGTAGAGACGTGGATGGATCTAGAGACTGTCATACAGAGTGAAGTAAGTCAGAAAAAGAAAAACAAATATCGTATATTAAGGCATACATGTAGAACATAGAAAAATGGTACAGATGAACCGGTTTGCAGGGCAGAAATAGAGACACAGATGTAGAGAACAAATGCATGGACACCAAGGGGGGGGAAGTGGGTGGGGGGTGGTGGGATGAACTGGGAGATTGGGATTGACATATATACAGTAATATGTATAAAATAGATAACTAATAAGAACCTGCTGTATAAAAAAATAAATAAAATAAAATTCAAAGAAAAAAAAGACTCATTCCCCAGATTCCTTGGAAGTAGAACTTGGGAGTACAAAGCTTTCTTTGGCCTTAATCCACTAAGTAATTCAAAACACACCAAGTCCTGCTATAGAGTACTTCAAGGATCTGCCCAAATGTTTTCTTTGACCTCCTTTCTCAGAGAAAGTGGGAAACTATCTACGACCTGGAAATATTTTGCTAAAGTATGTCTCCTAATTATTCAATGCAGAAATGAGGCAAAAGAATCACTAATAGGAATGTTCTTGTGAACTGTCTTTTTAACCAACACTGGTCACCAGTACACTAGCTGGATGTCAAACACAGCTCAAAACAGGCAGTAAGACCTGGAAGAAGCACTTCTTATGTGGGGATCAGAATTAAGAACTGGCAGTAAGGATTTGGTCATGAATAATATTATGGAATGGAATGGAAGCTCATTGGTATTGGTTCATGCATGTGGCTTGGGAAGCTTCCCTGGAGCCCACCAGGGCCCTCAGGAGCCCACCTTCCCACTTCTCCAGTGTCCCTTCCTTCAGTGCTTAAGTATGGTCCCTAGAGTTAGGACAATCTGATTTCTCCTCCCGGCTTTGCCCATTACTAGTCGTGGGACCTTGGCACACCATATCATATCTTTGTGCCTGAGTTTCCCCATGTCTAGAAGGAGAAACTATACGTCACGGTTGGTATAAAGATAAAAGAAGATCATGTCTTTGAGCTCTTGGTTTTACTCTTGTGCCTGTGGGCAAAGTAAGCCTTTAGTTCAGAAGTGTAAAATAATTTTATGGAATAATAATAATAATAGTAGAATAACTTTGGAAATGGTGATAATAATTCATTTATTATTTCATTCAAATATCTATTGAGTATTCACTGTCCTAGAAACTAAGAATACAACAGTGGGGGGAAAAACAAAATTCCTTCCCTTATACAGACAAATTCTAACGGGAAATAACAGTATCAAACAGATGAATAGGTAAATATATAGTATTTCTGACAGTAATAAGTGCAACAGAGAAAACTCTGTCAGGAGAGAGATAGGAAGCAAGGGAAGAGAAGTGGATTCAACTTTAAATATGGTGGCAGGAAAGGGGTCATTGAAAAGGTCATATTTAACTAAGATCTGAAGCAGATGGAGTGATCCAGTGGAAAAGTGAAGAAAAGCGTCCAGTAAAAGGAAACAGCAACTGCAAAGGTCCTGAGACAGGAATAATGTGTTCCCACATGGAGCAGCATGAGACACAAAAAGTCTAGAGAAGAAGTAATAAGAGGGATTAATCATTAATAATATTATAGACATGTTATATACTAAAAAAGATTGATAATTAAAAGTGGGCTAACACTCTACTTTTGCGATCTCCTATCACTGTTTAAGAGGTTCCCATTATGACAAAGGCAAAAGGGCCCCTGAAGAACAGAGGAGTTTTTGAAACAGAAAAGGATCTAATAGAAAAAGGAGGTTGAGAGTTAAGAGAAAGAACTGATTCTATTTTAGGACTTTCAAAAAATGGTAACACATACCAAATCGGTGCTTCAAGGTAGGTTCACAATATATGCAGGCTCAGTATGATTCTGATTTCTCCTCTCAGGCTTTGCTTGTATCCCCGGGACCTTTAAATACCTGCACTCTGAGATCTTTGTGGCTACTTCATTAGTTCACCAGAGGTTAATTCATCTGAAGCTGGACAGAGCCTTACCCCAAGTACCAAGCGATGGCAGCGGCCACAGAAAACCCTGGAGAAAGTGCTACTAGTCCCGGGAGGGTACTGCATGTGCCATGGCATTCTGTGCCCACTTGAAAGAGAGTCTCTGAAAGTTAACCAAGAAGAGACATGATGCCAGGTCAGGCCAGGCCCCCACTTACTGTACGGAGAAAGGATGCCCTACACGACTCTCCCGGAATTCGTGTTGATTCCAGGGGTGTCTAGGCTTCAGCACACAATGGGGAGAGTGAACTATCTGAAACCCCTTTGTGTCAATTTCAGAAACACCTTGCACACAGAAAAGTAGCTTTTACTTTGAAAGCATATATGTTTAACCTAATAAGCAAACTTGAAAATATCACCTAATTTTCCTACTTCCTCCAAAAAAATTTAGAGAAAGGAAGGAGCCTTACCCTCCGTGAAAACGTCCTCTTTTTTGTTCTTGCTGAATCCGTATGTTCTCCAATCTAAGCGGACTTGGGATGAAGCCAATCTCACAGCCTTCTTTCACCAGCCTTCCTATCCACCAATCATTGTTATATTTCTGGAATGTGGGAATAAAACTGCTATCAACAGTAATTCACTGATCTTCACATTTATAAATCTCAGGGGACCAAAAGAATGAAACACTATATTATATAATATTATACTATACTATATTACATATACAAACACTAGTTATAGTATATTATACTATATTATATATATCTGGGGTGGAGGAGTCCATAGAAGAAAGCAAACTTTTAATCTAAAGGCCCAGATAGTAAACACTTTAGGGTTTGCAGGCCATATGGTCTCTGCTACAACTACTGTAATCTGCTATTATAGTGTGGAAGCCGCCACAGCCAATATGTAAACAAGTAAGCACGGCTGTGCTTCAACAAATTTTTTCTTTCCAAAAAAGGCAGCAGGCTGGTTTCAGCCTGTGAGCCACAGTTTGCCAATCCTTGGGCAAAAGTCAGGTCTTAACATTTGGATTCCTTTGGTCCTTGTCAAGAAGTTCTAGCCAATTCTTAAGGAATAGATTTTACATGGATAAATATGCACCAATGTAACTGGAACTCTGGAAGACAGGATAGACAAGTCTAAGACGAAATACACTGAATAGTCTGTTTTTTGTCAAAAGCTTTGAGGTAAAAATTCCACCATACTACGTGTATTCTACTCTCTCTGGGGAAAAATGATAATCTTCCAAATATAGATTTGCAAATCAAGGTCCATCTTACTACCTGAAGAAAAACAAGCCTACTCTTACAAAGGCTAAGCATATTATACATAAGCGGAATTTTTGAAATAATCTCCATATGGCCTGAAGCCCAACAGGAATGGAGGAATTTCCATTTAAATAAAGTTCCATGACACATAAACTTGGGAAACAAACCCACACAAAGGCTTCAGCCAATACGGGGTGAACATGGTCCTATGTGATGGGCCAGCAAAACTGCATTTGTAATGATAGATTTGCTGAATCCTAGGGCAGGAGGCATATTTAATCCAAGCTACCTGCCTCAAGGAAGGTTTCTGCTAGGTGATTTCTAGAAAGCAGATATTAGTCCTACTGTTTACATCCTCCAGAGATAATTCCAAAAACTTCCTTTTGTGTCTTCGACAGTGTTGGGCAAGGTAACTCTCTCTCTTTGATCCAGAAACCATTTAGTTTTTTCAAAATGTAACTCGCTATGGTATGTTTTGCTTAGCTCAGAGAACAGTAGAATTTATATGTATGTGACATTGACACGTTGTGAAGGAGGAATGGATGATTCTGTTGAATCATCGCAGCATGAAATTCCAGGTAACTGAGTAATTCTGAGTAACAGCTTCACACTCAAAAGCAAAAAGATATGATTTAGAGATTTGGCCTTTGTTATGCACACAGCTCCTACACAAGGCCCGCATGGCATGCAGTCTGAGCCTGCACTGAAGAAAAGAGTTGACCTAATATAAAATCTTGAACAATCTAGGTCTCAGTTTCTTCCATCTTTCCATCGTTTATTTCAGGATAACAGGCCTGAAATACCAGGCCCGTTTATTTTGGAATTAACAAAAGGCAACAGGGACCCTTTCAGAATGCTTGGTGCACAGACCTGGAATTTAAATTTTACTGTGGTAGGGAAAAAACACACAATGAGTCATAGTTTCCTAGGGCTTAAGTTACTTCCGGAAAAATCAAGTTAGCCCACAGGAACACTAACTTACTAAGTTGTATCCAAATAACCTTAAGGGGTTTCTGAAGTAGTTAACACAACTTCCCAAGATGTTTTACCTTAGTTCTAAGAAACAGTGAGAACCAGACTTAACGTTAATGAAAGTTCTTTGAGCCACTTTAGGGAAAGCTGCGTTGTACGTTCAAAAGCTCATTAAATCGCCAGTCCTTTGGTATATGTGATAAGGAGAGCTGTAGCTTTTCTCTGCATTGAAGCTTTTCGTTACTGAGGCAGTACTTATAACAGAGCATACCAAATGGCCTTCTAGGTGATGGATGAGAGGAAAGGCTACAACTCGATTATAGAAATATGTTCCTTTGTGTTGATATTCTGGGAGCACACGCCAGCTTTCTGGCAAGGTCACCTTAGTGTTCCAATCCTTCTCATTTCCCTAAAACGATGAGCACTTTCTCTTTCTAAGATGTTTCCTTATCTGCGATCTCAAGGTCTGAAAACAAGTGGCTCAAATCCACACAGGATTACCAACTCAATACCATACATCAAACTGCCAGACAAGAGAAAGTCACTGATCAAGGAGCACATACATCAAAAAAGCAACCCACTGGACAAATGGAGAAGATTGATGGAATGGAGGAAAGCAATCAAATATAGCAAGGTGGGGATAAGGGTGTGAGTAGTGTGCATGGAATATGTGAAAACTTCTCTTACCATTCAAAGTGCTGCTTCTCCTTGGAAACGATGGGTATGAGCAGCTAATGAATACGGTTTGGTCATTTTTGATGGGAATGGTGAGACAAAGTCAACGTAACCATTCAGATGCCAGGGTACATGTTTCAGGTAAAGAGTCCTCGTCTTCGAGGCAAATATGGATATCCCCACCACATACACGATTGAGAAAGCAGAAGCCATCAACTCAGTGCTTCCTCAGCTTCTTATAACCAAGGCTCTGAGCTGTGTGTGCCTGCACTCATCTTTTTCCTGCATGTTATAATGAATTAGTGTTCCCCTTCGTATCAGAGGTCAGTCTCTCCTCTCGGGATCTGGATCCCACGCTCCCTGACTACCAAAAACTTTACTCCTTTGCCTGTCTCTCCTTCCCCATCAATCTCTCCCTCTCTCTCTCTGGTGGTTAATAGCAGCATGTACTGGTGCTCTGATAGCTCCCATCTTGAAAGGAAACCTCTTTGGACTTCATATGCTCTTCAGTCTACTGCCCGGGCAGTGTCAACTCCCTTGAAAGCACCGTCTGTGCTTGCTAAATATACTTCCTAACTCCCCTTCTCTCCTCATCACACTCCATCCAGCTTCTGTCTCTCTGTCTCCACAACTCCAGACAATGGTCCCAGTGACTTCCTTGCTACTGACCACTTTGCCAACCCGACATCCACTCCTTTCTCCTTGTCTTAGGTGACATGTCGCAACACTGGCCGCAGCTGGTTGCTTTGCCTCCTTTTGGATACGCTCTTCTCTCTTGATGTCCATGCCTTACTCTGTCCTGATTTTCCTCCCAAATCTCATGTTTCTCCTTTTCCTTAATTGTTGAATCTTTTCATGTACCCCACTTTTGCAGGATGGAATTCCTTTGAGTTTGATCCAGGGCTGTTTTCTCTCCTCCCTCTCCTCTCTCTTTAGGTGACTTCAGTCGTTACCTCAGCTTTAAATGCCACCTGGATAAACAAACTAATGATCCAAATTTATTTGTTTGGCCCAACCCCTTCCTCTGAGCTCCAAATTCTTACATCTAACTTCCTCCTTCATATCTCCGATGTCTACTCCCTAACCTCCCTTCCCATCTGTCCTCACTCCACCCTGGTCAACTCCATCCTAGTTGCTCAATTCATAAACCTTGATTTCCTTGATGACCTTGGATTTCTCCCTCAATCTTAGTTCCTACATGTGGTCCATCAGCAGCACAGATCATTGAACTTCCACAATGTTATGTCAAATATGTCTACTTCTTTCCACCTCACGGACACCAGGCCGGCTCAGTCCCATTATGTCTCATCTAAAATGGTTCTAACAGTCTCCCTGATTCCGTACTTATCCCACTCCAATCCACTGTCTCTACCACAATCAGAATAGCCTTCAAATAATAAATTCATCCCACTCCTCTGCTTTTAAAGTCTTCAGTGCCATCTTATTATACTTAGAATAAAATATGAAGTTTTCCATCACCTTAAGGTCCTACTTGACCTGTGCCCTGCTTACTTCTACAACTCTGTTACTCTGTTTCCTGCTACTGGCTCACTGCGTTCCAGCCATATGACCTTCTTCCAGTTGACTGATCGTGCCAGCTTATTTTGTCCTACCACAGGGCCTTTACACATGCTGTTTCCTCTCCCTAGAAGGCTTCTTCTTCTTTCTTTTTTTTTTAAGGCTGGCTACCCTGCTTAATGGTCACATACTCAGAAAGGCTTCTCTGATCACCCCTATATTTAAAAGTATATAACCTCCTCATCCCTATATTTTAAGATTCCCAGCATCCAGCTCATTTTTTACACAAAGCATTCACAATTTGTAATGATTTATTTTTTCATTATCTGTCTCCCCACTAGAATTTAAGTCCATGAGGGAAGGTACTCTGTCTTTGTTTACAGCTGTCAGACAACATCTGTCAGACAATATCTGCCAACATTAGCACACACTAAATGCTCAAGAACTATATCTTGAATGGAACAAAGGAACAAATGTAGAATTTCACCCAGTTCACATGGGCACAATGCAAAGACAGTGAGACATCTGTAGACATCCCAGTGTTTGACCTACTTGCTATCATATAGTTAAAAAATTTTAAATGTATATGTCTTGGTGTCATTAATGCTATTGTAGCATGTAGTTTTGAAAGACAGTGATTTTCAAATTGTTACATATTAACTGTGCACATCTTGTTTTGGGCCAGAGGGTAAGTGCTGGTGTCTCACTGACATTAAGTGACAGGTTCACGTTGATCACGTTCCTCAGGCTCCTCAGGGTCGGGTTTCACTTTATTGTTCCACCCTTACACTCTCCTTTTTCTTTTTTTAAAATGTTTTTTAAACGGTGAACTTTAGTTTTAAGAGCAGTTCTAGGTTCATAGCAGAATTGTGGGAAAAGTACAGAGAGTTCCCATATACCCCTGCCTCCACACATGCACAACCTCCCCCACTATCAACATCCCACACTAGAGTGGTACATTTGTTACAATGATGAATCTACAATGACGCATCATTCTCACCCAGAGTCATGTTGTACCTTCTATGGGTTTTGACAAATGTATAATGACATGTATCCACCATTATATCCACTCTGTGTTTTCTAAGATCCAATTTCTAACGGCTCCTTTCCAGCAGAGCCAATGGAGACTATCGAGTAGGAATGTCCTCCAATGTATGCCTCCAGCCCCACTGGAAAATCCTGTGCAGAACAGGGAAGTTCAAGGAAGGCAAGACTTTCCTCCTGACTCGGCCTACTTCTTGTGCCAATATTCCGGATGCCATCTCCTTCCCTCTACTCCAGCCCCTCATTGTATCAGTTAGGTCTTTTCCTTCCCATATATATCACTGGGTTCAACATCTCAGCACGGAAAACATATTAAAATCTTTCCCATCCTAAAAAAAACAAAAAAAAAGCAAATAAACTTGTAAAAACACTCCCTCAATTCTATGCTGCCTTCTCCTGGCTAAAACCTGTCCTCCTTTTCAACTCAAAGCACTTAGGAAGAGCAAACTGCAATTCCTCTCCTCTGGCCTCCACATTATGTGGGGAAAGGCCCATTGAGTAACTCCATGGGAGGTTCCCAGGGCCCCAGACACAGTGCACCTAATAGCAAATTTATAATCACATCACCCCTGTCAGAAATCTTCTCCCCTCTCGGCCTTCTTTATTTTGATAGCTGACACCACCCTCTGCCCTTTCAGGTGAGCTAGAGAAACTGCCCTCCATCCTTCATTTCTCTTCATCTCACTTTCTCCACTATTCCCCCCCCCCCCACCATGTGAAATCTTCCAATCTGGTCTATTTGCCTCTTAACTATCTCTCCAAGCTGCTCCCTCTTTCTATCTTCTCTGCTTCAGCCACTGTCTAGACTTACCATGTCTCCCCAGCCTCTGCAATACTCCCTCGACCATCAGAGTCACCATGCTAAGATACGAGGCTGGTCACATCCATCCTTTATTTAAAATTCCTCTCCAGCCCACTGCCTGGTGATCCAGTCCAGCCTCCTTGCCATGGCCTACCAGGTCCTTTCTCATCTGGCCCCTGCCTCTCTGACGTGGCCCATCCCCTGTACCACTCCCCGCTTACCGCCCTCCAGCCGTGCTGTGCTCATTGCCCCTGGCTGTCCCTTCCACTTGAAACCGCCACCCCTCACCCCAGCCTGAACTCAGGCTTCACCAGGTCTGAAGAGCTTTCCAGCCCCCCACCCTCCTCCTCCTGAGCCGGATGGTCCCTCCTGCTCTTTCTTTGGGCTCCCACAACACCCATTCAATTTTACTGTAACAGAACTTCTCAACCCATGCAGAAACTATGCACTAGTCTGTCTCCCCCACCAGACTCTGAGCTCTCTGGCCGAGGGGACAGTGGACCTTCAGCTCTGATCCCCAAATGCACAGCACAATGTCTGATATAAAGGAGGATTTCAATACACCCAGGTTGAGTAAATGAAAGTTTTTGATGTCACTATTCCATCTTTCAAGATGCGAGGCCTCAAGTGCTCAATCCCTCAAGGTTTCTGTTTCCCAAAGTCCTCTGCCCTTCTCCTAACTTTAACAATTTAATTATTATACTCTGTAGTGTTGTTTTGGCGGTCAAGGTCCACGGGACAATAATCCAGATGTTTATAATTACAACATCCCTTGTAAATGGTGCGTTCTGGGTAGGAGCCATGCCACCAAACTCACGTTTCCCTAAATTGGATCCACTGATCTATGTCAATGGATCTATCATGGTAGGTGATTAAAAGGTGACCAGAGGACCACAGGTCTATCCTAAATCGATCCTCTGATGATTGTGATTCAATGTTTTAAATGTTTGATAACGTAAGCAATGATCTCAGGCTTCCAAATCTCGCTGAGAAGGAATGGATTTGGAAGGCTTAGCCAATTAAATGAGGTAACACATTGGCAGCTCCTCAGGGCTTCTCTCCATTTAGTTTGGCTCAGAGCTGATTCCTGGCCTTGGCCTTGTAGCAGGTTAGGGGATACAGAGTGCCCTACATTTACCTCTTTAATGTGTAGAAAGTCCTTGGCGTCAAAGGAGATGGCCGTGCTTGGAACAGGCACATCTTCATCCAAGGCACCACAGTAGCTCACATTCGTCTTCACAGCAAATGCTACAGGTTTGGACTGGGAACAGAACCATGGAATAAGGATGGAGGGAGGAAGACAGAAGAGGATTTTTCACACCGAAATGTAGAACCAGATAATGGATAGTACTAGGCAGTAAGGGAAATCACTTTCCAAAGAGGGATCTCAACTGGGTTCCACATATCCAGGCAGCAGTGAGAAATCTGCAGAAAGGGCTCTGAAGAGGATTCAGTCCTATCAGCCCGACCATGTTCCCCCTCCTGTCGTACTTTCCAACATCCCAAAGAATCGTGCCCTAAAATTTTGGGGGAAGGGATGGAAAGGCGGGAGGGGCAATCTGCTTTGGCCTCTAGTCATAAACTCATGTTTATTATTTTAAATGGTAACAGACGCCTCCACCTTGACATACAGGAAATGTGTGCCGGGTCTTAAATAAAAAGGTGGTGGAGGGTTAAAATAAATATTTTTGAAATAGCCTTAGGCCTGAAAACCTGTGGGATCCCACTCAATAGAATACCTTGTCCTGCCAGGGAAAAGAAAGCCCGGTTGGAGGAGACAGGAAGGGCGGAGCTGCTCACTCATCACCTTCCCCTTAGCTAACAAAAACTGCTTCTGAAACTTTTTTTAGACAGATTCCTCCGCAGCAAAGTGCTCTTGGGCTGGTGCAGCTTGGCAGAGGTTAAGTAAGCCACCAGCCTAAGCTAACAGCACTGCTGCTGACATTTGGGTGACCACAATGGCCAAAAACTAGACTCTGAGAGAAACCTAAAACAAAAATTAGCCACAAGTAAGAACACCAGTTTCCAGCAATCCCGGGCTGCTCTGTTATGGGCTCATTTATTCTTGCTAGGACCATGCCTGGGAGCAAGAGCACTGAGGCAGGATCGGAGTTACAGTCTCACTGATGTCCTTTCCCAGGTGCTGCTCCAACCCCCTTCCGCCAACCAGCACAGGTAGCACGGGTGTGGAAGCAAAGGAAGACACCTTGTGAACCTGCCTCATCCTCCTCTTCCCGCTCTTTTAAACATTTTACTGTAAAAATAGAAAATGGGGGCTTCCCTGGTGGCGCAGTGGTTGAGAGTCCGCCTGCCGATGCAGGGGACGCAGGGTTGTGCCCCGGTCCGGGAAGACCCCCCACGCCGCAGAGCATCTGGGCCTGTGAGCCATGGCCGCCGAGCCTGAGCGTCCGGAGCCTGTGCTCCGCAACGGGAGAGGCCACAGCAGTGAGGGGCCCGCGTATCGCAAAAAATAATAAATAAAATAAATAAATAAATAAAATAAAAATAGGAAAGGGAAGGAGTTCATTTTATCTGAGCTTCCTTTTTTTTTTTTTTTCTCCTAAAAATTAGAAAGACTAGATCAATATGCTTTAGGAGTCTATCGTGAAGGGCAAAGGAGGAGAGGCTGACCAGGAACATGTTATATCTGTTACTGTGCATAAAATTTCACTTGACAAAAGGGGTCTGTGCTTACAAAACAAAAAAAAGTCTGAAAGACATAGCATGGGAGATCTCTAGTGACTCAGTTCTAACATTCAAAAATGCAATTTGTTCTTTGTTGCCTCCTATGGGGCAGGGATTCCTATGGGGGCCCCTCCCTGTGGAATATCTGAAGGTCTCTTGCGGCAAAGCCTTTCATTGCTCATCTTTGCTGAAATGCTAACCACTGTTCAAAGCTCTGAACGGTGAACTTGAGGTGGGAGATTGACACCAAGAGGGAAGAACAGAGACACCAACAGGGAGACCCACTGACCAGTTAGGCACGTGTGGCCTGCAATGAAGGCTGCTGTCTTGGAGAACGGGGCAAGCACGCTGGATCCTTGGGAGGCCCTCTAACGACAGTGGGAGGGGCAAGCTGGATATGGGGCACAATCGCTAAGTTAGAAGATGACCAAGAATTTTCACCACCAAACCAAACACAAAAGGTAGGTGAAGGGGTCCGTGTCTCAGGATATGGCTCCCTGAGAATGTTACTATCAGGGGTGAACAGATCATGGAGCCTTGCAATCTGGTGCCTTATCAGAATGATCATAAAATGATTACGCCAGAGAAATCTGAGGCAGGGGAAGAGCAGCTGATACCTGCTGAGCAACATGCCACTTTGGAACCCAAGAGGGGCAAGAACGTCACCTTTGCTCTCTCAAGCTGGATGGCCGCCTGCTGCTCTCTCTCTTGCCGAATTGCTTCCCGATCCTCTTCCAGAGAGACATCGGAGTCAGACGGCCTGCTCGTGTAGGAATCCGCTGAACCCTGGAGAGGAAAACCCGGAGTAGCTTGAATGAGGTGATGTGGAGCTTCTTAAACCATCACATCTAACAGCATCCTGGAGTGGGTTCTTCTCATTTGCATAGAATTTGATAAATACGCTCTATGCCTTATTGCAGACATAAATTTAGATGGCAGAATATATTTAAGCATCTGAGTAATTCGGAAGGTAGCAATGTTAGGAAGGGAAATATTTTGACTAGATTAAGTGCTAGAGAGTAAACTGCAATGAAAATTATGTGATGTTCAGCCCCAATTCTTGTTTTGTGCTATCTTTATATTAAGACCATATCAACTTGCGGAACTGAAATTTCATTCCGTTCTCTGTTTTATATACAGATTTTTAAAGGAGTAAGAGATTTAGCCTATTATAAAAGTAACTCCTACCCATATCTTGGATTACAGATGATCAATTTAAGATTTCAACACAGCAAATCTGAAACCTGAATTAGTAAAATGATTTTCAGTTCCATTGTCAACGCCATTGAACAAGGATGTCCTCAACTGAAGCCCATTCCTAGAAGGACTATTTGAACAATAATGAAATCCAGCCTGACTCATGTGGCCAAGGAATTTCGGGCAGTGGACATCACTTGGTGCTCATGCCATAAGAAGAGATGAAAACCACAGCAGCTGAAAAGTTAAAAACAAAAACAAACACCCCAGAAGCTTGCTTTCTGCTTGCTAAAAGAACATCACCCTTACAATTTCCTTAAGCTGGCATTAGAAGTTGATATTGGTGTAGATGATATTTCCACAGCAGACATATTGATAAGACTGGTGTATTTGGCATGTTTCATAAACCAGGTACAGATTCTAAAAGGTGTATGCTTATCCATATAGCTGAGAATTTGCTACCCACTGCAAAAAAAAGAACTCTAAGAATGGCTGACTGCTGAAACGGGCACTTTGAAAGTTTTTTCTAAACTTAGAAATGTTAGGGTTTGTTTGTTTATATATTGTTTGTGAATTTGCTGCCTGTAAGGGTAGCTTTGTCTCAGTAGAGGGTGTCATTTTAGCTGGGGTAGTCTTTCCCACGATAAAAAAAATCCCAGCACAGATTTTCCTGGCAGCCTAGAACAATAATTCCTTGTTAGAGTTTTATCAGAATGCCCAGTAGAACCCTGGTTCTAAATTCTAACTCTGCAACCCACTTGTGAAAACCTTATACAAGTTCCTAGACCACTCTAAGACTCAGTCTCCTCTTCTGTAAAATGGGGATGTGGTTTACTTCACAGGATTAAATGGAATAGGATATAATGAATCCCTGATTATTGAGCCCTGGCTGTCACACCAGCGTGGGGCTAGATGCTTTGCACACCTCATCTCACTGAATCCTTAGAGCAGTGGGTAAGCTGGGATTCAAACATGGGTAATCCAACCGTAGAGCCAGCAGTTTCAAACCCTACATTGAGCTGGACTTGATAAAATATTTACTCTAGGACCTGGCACATAGTAGGCACACAATAAATAGCCATTCTCATTTCTATTTCCTAGTGCTGGTATTTCTACCTTGATTTTTAAAAAAAAGAGTTAAGAGATTCTAATCATTTTTCAGCTTACTTACATATGCAAGTAAGTTGCCCATCTTGAAATGTACAGTATCCTTTTTTATTGTATTTGCTGCATAGAAAACACGGTAAGTTTTATTCCCCAGCTTTATTGAGATATAATTGACATATAACACTGTGCAAGTTTAAGGTGTACAATGTGTTGATTTCATACATTTATATATTGCAAAATGATTACACTATAAGTTTCATAACTGCAGTGTGTCCAAATCCATGCACTTTATGCAGTGCTTTTGAAAGTGCCCTTTACAGAGGAAATGTATTTGCTAACCAAATTATAAGCAAACTCATCTGTGCAAATCTACTGGGGAAAAATCTGGACCTACAAAATAAATAAGTACAGGGTGACTATTTTATAGATGCATTCATTGCTTAAAAAAGAGCTACCTTGGGCTTCCCTGGTGGCGCAGTGGTTGAGAGTCCGCCTGCCGATGCAGGGGACACGGGTTGGTGCCCCGGTCCAGGAAGATCCCACATACCGCGGAGCAGCTGGGCCCGTTAGCCATGGCCGCTGAGCCTATGCATCCGGAGCCTGTGCTCCGCAACGGGAGAGGCCACAACAGTGAGAGGCCCCCGTACCGCAAAAAAAAAAAAAAAAAGAGCTACCTTGAAGTCCTTTAAAACAAGAGAGTTCTATCAGCATAAATCTTTTGTCCAAATTTAGGTATACCTGCATAAAATCCAGAGTAAGAAAGAAAGGAAACAATGTTTCTAAAAAATATATGAAAACGGTTTTGTGTTAGTTCTAGGCAATGCTTTGCTAAAGTGTGATGTGTGTGGTAGACCATTTTAAGGTGCCAGATGTCTGCGAAGGTGTCTGGACTATAAAGTGATTATGATGCAGGAAGTCAGGAAGGAGGCACTTGTTTTGAAAACACTTGCTGGGGAAGGCTAACAACTGCAGTTCACAAGAAAGCAGGCTGCCCAGTGGAGCAGTGAGTCAAACAGCTAAAATACACAATCCACTGTTGACACTAGGAGATGGCTAATTTCCTGAAAACTCCATTAACGATTTTTCAAATCCTGGCATTCAATCCTCTGCACACACAAGGAGTGACTCAAGGGCTCCTGCAAATAAACTTTATTTTGAAATGTGAACAAGACTGTTAAGAATTTCAAAATTACTTAATAAGTTCTACTATTGCCAAGTATGTAAAAGCACACAATACTCTAAGAATATTGGTAGAGGGAAAAATAAAGCACTGTGATATTTATTTTCATAATTACAGTGTGAGATTCACAGCATTTACTGTTTTTTTCTTTTCTTTCAATGACATCTACATTTCTCTGAATATGGAAATCATTGCTGCTGTCTCTCAAGGTCCTAGGGACAGCAGAGATCCAACATCAAGAGCCCAAATTTAGCCCACGGACATGTTCTGCTGTCTTGGCACAGAACTGGTTTCTTGTTTCTATTGATTTTTATTTGATTTGTTTCAACTGGTTGATAGAGAGTACAGACAGGAGAAAGAAAGGAAAAGAAAAAGAACCTAGGTTGTTTACAAAGGCACAGAGAGCAGAAGAAGAGAGCCACAGAGAGGCAAGAGGAGACTGCCTGGGCCTGACTAGAGGGAGGATGGGGAAGGGAAGTGGGGCTGCAGCAGGCTTAGCAGGACTGGAGGGTCGGGGGGACTGCCTTTATGATCAGGAAAAGGGAAACTGCAAGAAGGAATAATGCTAAATGCTAAGAGGACAGAACTAAAGATATAAAGGTTACTAGCTCTGGCCAAAGCTAAAAACTGCAGCCCCGTCAGCTTTTTGTTTTCCAAAATTCCACTGCATAAAATGGGCAAAGAGCAAGGCACCCAACTCATCAAGTGAGCCAAACCTGGGCTGTTAATCTATGTGTAAGACGCACGACAGAGGCTAGTCCCTCAAAAGTTCCTAAGCAGAAACCATTGCAAGTCACATCTTTGAGTCTCCAAAGAAACAACTAAATTGGGGGGGGGGGGCCAGGAAGGGGAAACAATTGCTTCAAGTTTTGTTTTTTTGTTTTTTTTTTGCGGTACGCGGGCCTCTCCCTG